ACAGAGAAAGAAAGGAAAACCCCCAACGAGATGGATTGACCAAGTGGCAGCATCAGTGGGCTTAAGCGTGGCAACAATTGTGAGGTTGGCCCAGAATCAGAAAGTGTTTTGTTCTGCTGTGCATAAGGTTACTGTGGGTTGGTGCCGACGCAATGGCACCTAACAGCAACAACAGCTTTTTTCTTCCAGCAAGCAAGTTTATGTTGTCAGCATATCCAGTGTGATGCCTCCTCCTTCTTCAAATAATCCAGTTTTTTCAGATTTTCAGCGTACAGATTGAATAAATTGTGGTGAAAGGATACAATCTTGATATTACACCTTTCCTGATTTTAAACCATTCAGATCCCCTTGTTCTATTTGGATGACTGCCTTTAGACAATGTTCATGTTCCTCATGAACACATTCAAGTGTCCTGGAATATCCATTCTTCTCAGTGCTATCCGTAGTTTGTTATAATACACATAGTTGAATGCCTTTGCATAGTAAATAAACCACAAGTAAACATCTTTCTGGTCTTCTTTGCTTTCAGCAAAGGTCTATCTGCTGTCAATAATGATATCCTTGGTTCCGGATCCTCTTCTGAATCTGGCTTGGATTTCTGACAGCTATGGTCTCTTTTTTTCTGTTGATATACTGCTGCAATTGGTTTTGAATTATCTTCTATAAAATTTGGCTTGCATGTAATATTCATGATTTTGTTCAATGATTTCCACATTCTGTTTGGTGACATTTCTTTGGAATGGGCACAAATATGGTTCTATTTCAGTTTATTGGCCAGATAGCTGTCTTCCAAATTTTTGGACATAGATGGGTGAGTGCCTCCAGTGCTGTATTATTTGCTGAAAGATTTCAATGTGTATTCTGTCCATTTCTGAACCCTTGTTTGTGCCTTCAGTACTGCTTAGATGTCTTTCTTCAATACCATAGGTGTTTGATCATACGGTACATGTTGAAATGATGCAACATCGACCAATACTTTTTGGTACACTGATTCTATATATTCCTCCCAACCTCTTTTGATGTTTCCAGCATCACTCAATGTTTTGCTCACAGAATCCATCAATATTTCAAGTTCAGTCTTAACGTTTGTTCTCCATTTCTCTCAGTTTGAAAAGTGCTGAGCACGTTTTCCCCTTTTGGTTTTATAACTCTAGGTCTTTGTACATTTCATTATAACATTTGACTTTGTCTTCTGAAGCTGACCTTTGAAATTTCATGTTCAGCTTTTTACTTCATTTCTTCCACTCACTTTAGTTTCTCTATGCTCTATGCAAGTTTCAGAAGCTCTTCTGACATTTGCATTTTTTCTGGCTTATTAATGACCTTTTGCTTTCTTCATGTATGATTTTCTTGATGTCATCCCAAACTCTTCTGGTCTTTGGTCATTAGTATCTAGTACATCAAATCTGTACTTGAGATCATCTCTAAATTCAGTTGGAATCTGTTCAAGGTCATATTTTGGCTCTCATGGACTTGTTTTAATTTTCTTCTGCTCCAGCCTGAACTTATATATGAGCTATTGATGGTCTAATTCATAGTCAACCCTTAGCCTGTTTTGGCTGATGATATGGAGCATCTCCTCATCTCCCCCTTAGATGTAGTCAGTTGATTCTTTTGTAGTCCATCTGGTGCAGTCCAGTTATATAGTCACCTTTTATGTTGTTGAAAAAGTTATGTTCAACAAATAAGTCATTGGTCTTTCAAAATTCTATAATGTGATCTCAAGTATCATTTCTGTCAGGAAGGTCATGTTTTCCAACTATGGAACCTTCCTCTTGGTTTATGACTTTCACATTCCAATCACCAGTAATTACCATTGCTTCTTAATTGCATGTTTGATCAATTTTAGATGGAAGAACTCTTCAATTTCACCACCTTTGGTGGTTAGTGGGTCAATTTGAATAATAGTGGTATTAGCTGGTCCTATAAAAGACAGCATTGTACTTCAGGATAGATCTTGAGAAGTTTTTTTATATGATGAATGCAATGCCATACATCTTCAATTTGTCGTTCCTCACATAGTAATACATATGATTGTCTGATTTAAAATGATAGATACCAGTCCATTTTCATCTTACTAATGCCTAGGATATTGGAGTCCTGGTGCGGCGCTGTGGGCTAATGCATCAGACTGCAAAGTTGTTTGAACTGTAACGTAGGTGGTTCAAACTCACCATCTGCTCCTTGGAAAACCTATACAGGGTCGCTATGGGTCAGAACAGACTCAACAGCACTTCACAACCACAACAATGCCTAAGATATGTGTTTTCATTTCATTTTGACAACTTGCTATTGTCCTAGATTCATACTTCATACATTCCACGTTGTGATTATTAATGGGGTTTTGCAGCTGTTTCTTTTCCATTTGGGTTGTGCCACATCAGCAAATGGAGGTCCTGAAAGCTTAACTCATCATGAATTACCCACATCATTAAGGTTCAACTCTACTTGGAGGAAGCAGCTCTTCCCCAGTCGTATTTTGAGTGCTTTCCAACCTGAGGGGATCATCTTCCGGCACTGTATCAGACAGTGCCCCACTGCTATTCCTAACATTATCAGGGCTAACCATTCAGAAGTGGTTGGCTCTGCTTCCTAGATTCAGTCTGGAAGCTCCGCCGAAACCCGTGCACCATGGGTAAGCTATAGTTAAAATACTGGTGGCATCACAGTCTGCCACAGTATGACAAATGGATAGATGAGTGCTGGAAAACAGGTAATAGACGAAGACTACAAATCAGGTAGAGACCTGCTAAGAAATATATAACTTTATTGTTTGTTTATCATTTATTTTTGTATTGTGATATTGAAAAACATTCATTGTTGAGTCCATTCTGACTCATTGTGACCCCGCATATGTTATAGTAGAGCTGTTCTCCATAATGTTTTGAATGGTTTATGTTTCAGAAATAAATTTCTCCAAGACACCTTGGGTGAACTCGCACTTCCAACCTTTCAGTTAGTAGCCAAGTATATTAAATATTATCACTGCCACGGGACACCTTGAAAACCTGATGCATTTTTTTCTTATTTATGTATCTATCTACTTACCAGGCCTGTGGAACCATGAAGACAGGAACACTAACTAAATTTTATCTTTGTCTCAAAGATAGAGTTCCGGTATTGAGCACAATGCGTCATTTAGCTACTCCATAGTAAATTATGGAAACGCTTTCAGTCATTCATGTCCAGAACTCTAAAGTTAGGAATACAAAAATGTATTTTAAGAATACTCTGAGCAAAAATGATTATTGATATTCTGTAAAGAACCTGCGTGTGTTTTGGTGGGGACTGCTCACTTTGGGTAGAAAGTATAATTTACTTAATATTGAAATTGGAGTCCTGGTATGGCATTGTGGGTTAATGCACTGGACTGCGAGGTCGGTTTGAACCACAAGATAAGCAGCTCAAGCTCACCAGTCGCCCCTCAAAAATCCTGTATAGGGTTGCTATGAATCAGATCCAACTCCACAGCACGTAACAACAACAACAACAATATTAAAATTATCAGTTAAGTATGCCTCTTAGCCAAAATGGTTTAACAGTTCGATCATCACTGGTTTTTAAATTTTCTCAAATCATTGAATCAAATCAAATGACTTGTGATTTAAAATGTTTTATATTATGTAGATTTTCAAAATTATCTGAGAACACAGACTGGCAACAATACAACCGTCAATATAATCATCTCTACTGTGGACTACCTACTAAGAGTTCAGGTACAGTGCCTCATATAGTAGTATCAAGTAGTTGCCTTAGTTGGAAATAATTTAGCAGGGGTGTTAACAGATCTGTTTTAATGTGTTTTCATTTATAAGTAGACAAAATTTTTTGGGATATAGTGTCTTTAATGAGAGTCTTTCTCCAAGTCTTAGAGTCAACCTGCCCCTTCGGTTGGCTTCCTACTGTGCACATTATGTACTTTCTGAAAGTGGGGATATTTTCCTTCTCCATTTCTTAGCTTCATTGTGTATTAATTTTGTTTTCGTTTTAAAAGACACTCTGCCCTTTCTCTATTTGATAGAATTGGGGAAGTATACAAAATGATCAGAAAATTCATGAAGAAATGATATTGAAAGACAAAAAAGTTCATGGAAAAATTTTGTTGTCTTTTAATTTAATTTCTCCGTGAACTTTCTCTCTCATGTTAGAAACGTTCTTAGAAACGAAACAGAAAAGACTTTCCAATTTTCTATAACCTTCTTCAATTTGATAGCTTCAAGTCTGTTCCCTTCAGCTGTTCTAATATTTGAATTGAATTTTAAATTTCAGTTAAGTACTCCATCACTTAAGGAGCTCTGGTAGAGTCGGGCTGCTAATCTCAAGGTCAGCAGTTCGAAACTACCAGGGGTCCCATGGGAGAAAGATGAGGCTTTCTGCTTCAGTGACGATTTACAGCCTCGGACACCCTGTACAGGGGCGCTATGAGTCCGAACAAGCTCCACGGCACACTGCCACCACTCCATCACTTAAAAATCTTTCTGGTACCATAATTGAATCAGAAGATTAAATCATCTTAAGTAATGAGAACCATATGTAACTTTTATTTCACTTTTACTTAGTTCTTTATCAGAAAGCTAGGTACAGTGTTTTGATAACTGCAAATTCAAACTTTGAACTTTTTCCTTAATCTTGGAGTATGTAAAACTCAGCATTTTTTAAAAGCTCAGTAGGTGAAAGACCTGTTGTTGTTTTTTTAATGTTTTATTGTGAATTATGTGATAGTTTACATGGGAGAACATTAGTTTTACATTCATCCTGTCGTATATCGTTTTAGTGCCTTGGTTACAATCCCCTCCATGCATCATCAACCAACCAAACCAACCAACCCTGCAAGCCTGCCCCCCGGTCATCAGCACACAGCCCCTCTCCCTCTCTGGGTATAAAGTCCCCAGCCACTCCATCTCTCCACGTCATCGTCTCTGCCTCCATCTCTGGTGTCACTGCTTCTCTGGGTAGGGTCCCGCTCACCGCTCTTCTCCATTGATGGTCCCAGGGACCTCCACTCCTAGACTGCAAAGTTAATCACTCCCCTCCTTGCTACAAAACATTTACCTTTACATTTCCAGCCCTCACAATCAGTCCTGATAACAATTATTCACTATTGTATCACAAGAGACCTATGCGTATTTCCTTTCATCAGCCCCACCTAGACAGATTGGATACTACTCAGTGGAGATTCTACCTTCCTCCAGGCCCTCTGGATCTAGGTTCCCTCTTGAAAGCTTGTAAGCCAGTCACGTCTTGCCTTTGTAGCCCCCTCATTTTGGGTAGCCAATGTCCTAGTTGCCCGTCCCTGTCTACTCTGTATATGGAGGGGATGGGCATGATCCTTGCTGTAAAGATTTGTTCCCTCTTTTGAGCTACTGCATCCATAGCTGTAGCTCAAGTTCTTCAATTTGTATCAGATTACTCTTTTTTTTCCTCTTCTTTCTTCTTCTATTTGAGCTCTGATCATCCAGTCATTGGAGCCAGGACAAGTGCGTATTATCCACAAGTGTGGGTGTTCTTGTGCATATGCCCTCTCTTCTTATCAGCTAGACGTTTCACTCTCCACTCTAGTCCTCTGTGGTTATGTCACTGACTCTAGGCCCAAGAGTCCCCAAATCTTTTCAACACTGCTGGTCAACCAGGTCTCCACCTGGTTCACAAGAGGCTATTGAACATTGTAGGGCGTAGCTCGCAGTTTCATTGCTGTTTTTCCCCCTCTTCCCCTTATTGGTGACGAACGTGGTCACCAATCAAAGCGTGTATTCCCATTGAGTGTTTGTCTTGGAAGGGGTTTGCTCTGAGGGGAAAGACCTATTTTTAAATGAATATAGTAAAATGTATTGCTGAAAACGTAAGTGATTTCTAAAATTGTGTCTCAAAACTCAAATGTAGTTCCTACCTTGGCCTAAATTATCTTATTCAATCAGCCAAACGAAGTGTATGTGAGGTATTATTGAAAACATTGTTTGACAAGATTGGTCTTATTTAGAATGTTGTCTCTTTTTTTTTTTTCCTCCTAACTGTTGTGGTCAGTGTTTACAATTAACCCAACCAGTTTCTTCAGGACAGTAATATCCTGAAAAGCAGTGACCATCCTGGAGTTCTCACTGGTGAAACCGATTTGACTCTGTTGAAGAAAAAGGAGGCTAGATATCTGTAGCCTCAAAAGCATCCATTTATTTTAGGTTTAATTTATATGCTTATATAGTTTACACCTAACTGTATTAACCTAAATATGTATTAGTCCCATGAATACTTATGTTTGCAAAATTTAACAGCATCAGAGACAAAAAGCAAGTTTTGAAGTTAAATTTGCTGTTTATTTTCTTCTCTTCATTTTCTATTGATACCTAGGAAGGAAGTTGTTTTATGTTTAGGAAAAGTCTCAAGAATGGTACTTACTTCACAGATATGTTTGTTTGGTTTACAATATACTGCTTAAAATGTTTTTTCATTATTTAGTCTAAAACCATAAGGATCAGCGATAACTTTAGAATATCCCTTATTAATATTTTCTCTATTTTCTAGGAATCAATTAGTGATTTCTATTGGTATTACTCTGGGAAAGATGTTATTGATGAACAAGGACAACGGAATTTCTCTAAAGCAATTCAAGTAGCTAAACAAGTCTTCAACACTCTTACTGAATATATTCAGGTAAATATTCCATATATGTATATATATATATATATTTATATATCATGTTATTAGCATTTAAATCCATAGAGAAACACAATATGACTAAAATAGTCAATCAAATAAAAATATAGGAAATCTGTATCTTTACCAAGGAGCAAGAATTTTCTTTTATTCATTTATTATCCAATGCTACAAAGTCATGGTCATAAATAGTTCATTTTATTACATACTTTCTCCTGCCATTATTCCCATTTTGTATAGACTTCTTTCATAGTTTCTTAACCAGTATCCCTGTAGAAATACTAAGACAAGCTGCAAATTAATATAGAATGTAATGTCTTTACCATTTGGTATGTGGAGATATTGTTAAATCCTTATAGGCATGAAGGAGTTAATGGTGTCTCCTACTGGTTACTTTTATCTCCAGGACCTGTTATAGATAAAGCAATAAATATTAATAAAGGTACAGAAGGAGGGCAGGAGAGAGATAGGGAGACTATTAGACCACTCGTCAAGGAAGAGTGAGAAAAATGATAAAGCAATAATAGAATTTTTAAACCTTAAAGATTTTTAGTATAAGAGACAAAACAACAAATAACATGAAGAATATATCGTTTTGCTCTTTTGTGTTTATTTTGTTGTTGTTTTTACTTTGAATTATAGTCTACTGACTGTAAATCTGGGAGTAGAGTGGCTCTGTAGTGTAAGTACTGGACTGTGAACCACAAGGTCAGTGATTGAAGCTCATCAACCTCTCCACAGGAGAAAGATGAAGCTTTCTGCTCCCTCAAAGATTTACAACCTCAGTAGCCCTATACAGCGCCACTATGAGTCAGAATTGACTCAAGGGTACAAAAATCACAGCAGTCTAAATCTGTAGGATAAATATAATCTTGTGGGGAGAGTGGTAGCCTAAACAAAGATTAAGAATTGTATCCCCAAAGCATAGTGGGAGGTGTCTGTAGAGTGATTGTTTGAGTGAATGTCGTGTTGCCATGTTGTTCATATCAACTCTAGGCGCCTGCCTTTTTATTCAGCACCCTATTTTATTCTCTCAGGGTTAGGACCAGGCTACCCTTATTTTAATATTTCAAGATGGAAAAGGCCACACTTGATAATTCTAATAATTTTACCTCTAAATCACATAAAAGTTACAATTTAAATCAGTTTCGATCCATTCACGTTCCTATTTCCTTGTTGTCCCTGGATTTACTCTTACTACCGTAGTGTTCTCATGTATTCTAGAAAGATAGCTAGTCAGTTTTGTGGAAATGATTGGTACATTTGTTTATATAAGAGAAATTAAACTTAAATGCCTTTTCAGCCAATAAGTGGACATTCTTGGCTTCCTAAAATGAGTGAGATTTGGCTTCCTGTTTGGTGTTGGTATGTTTGCAAAACTAAGTGAATGATACAATTTTCTCTTAAGAATTAAAAACAAAAATGGTCTCCATCAAATCATTCTACAGACACACTACTACAATACACATCCTCACTTCAGAAATGTTAACTAAGAGAACAAGTTCCTAAATGCCTTGACTTCTGGGATCCTGTAGATAATGATCAATCATTCCTCTTTTAAATTTTCAGTTCTTGTGTAATTTGTACAACAGTTTTACAATTCAGAGAAAATGTTAAAGGATTTTCTTTTTCCTCAGCATGAATGCTTTATCCGGTTTATTGGTTAGGAATTGGAAGTAATCAGGTTCATTTTTCACAGAGGGAAATGACTACTGGTTCATTTGATGTAGTAACTACAACAGGATGCTGTTGCTTTCCTTTAACCACAGTAGTGGTGGTGGTGTGCTGTGCAGTCAGTTCCAACTCACAGCGACCCTGTACAGTGTTTCTGAGGTTGTAAATCTTTACGGGAGCAGAAAGCCTCATCTTTCTCCAAATACGGTAGAAAAAATCAAAGCCAGACAACAGTGAAATGATTAAGCATTTAGTGTGGTTGCTCTTGTTAATGCCATTGAGTCAGATTATAGTGAACCAGTGCACAACAGAATGAAGCACTGCCCAGTCATGTGCCATCCTCACACATGTGAGCACGTTTTGCAGCCACTCTGTCAATTCATCTCATTTGGGGGCTTCCTCTTTTTCTGACCCTCTGCTTTGCCAAGCCTGATGCCCTTTTCCAGGGACTGGTTCCTCCTGTTGGTGGTGATGGCTGTGTGCTGTCGAGTCCATTCCGACTCATACATACAGAGTTTCCGAGGCTGTAAATCTTTACGGGAGCAGAAAGCCTCCTCTTTCTCCTGCGGAACAGTTGGTAGCTTCGAACTGCTGACCTTATGGTTCGCAGCTTGGTTCGTAACCACTATGCTACCAGAGCTCCTTGGTTCCTCTTGGTAGCATGGCCAAAGTATCGGAGGCGAAGTCTCACTGTTCTTTCTTCCAAGGAACATGCTGGCTGTACTTCTTCCAAGACAAATTTGTTTGTTCTTTTAGTAGCTTATGGTACTTTCAATATTCTTCGCTGACTCCGTAATTCAAATGCATCAATTCTTCAGCAGTCTTCCTGATTTATTGTCCAGCTTTGACATGTGTATGTTTGTTGTTGTTAAGTATGGTTAAGTCAGTTGCCAGTCATAGTGACCCTGTATAGGGTTTCCCAGGAGCACTGATGGGTCTGAATGCTTATCTTACAGTTAGCAGTCAGATGCTTATCCTTCAGTAAATACCAAGACTTCACTTGTATGTGAAGTGATTGAAAATATCATGACTTGGATCAGGTACAATTAGTCCTCAAACTGATATCTTTGCTCTTGAACATTTTAAAGAGCAGATTTGCAGCTATGTGCCTAATGCTATATTATTTGATTTCTTGTGTGTTGCTTCCATGAGTGTTGATTGTGGGTCTGAGTAAAATGATATCTTTGACAACTTCAGTATTTTCTCTATTTCTCATGTTATTTTTTGGTCCAGTTGTGAGGATTTTCATTTTCCTTGTATGGAGGTGCAATCCATGCTAAAGATTGTGATCTATATCAGTAAGTGCTTCAAGCCCTCTTCTCTTCCAGGAAGCAAGATTTTGTCATTTGCATATTGCAGGTTGTTGATGAGTCTTCCCCCATCCTGATGCCAAATTCTTTTTCATATAATCCAGTTTCTTGGATTATTTGATTAACAGACAGATGGAATAAGTGTAGTGAAAAGTATACAACCTTTCCTGATTTTAAGCTATTCCGTATCCCCTTGTTTTGTTCTAAAACTGCCTCTTGGCCTACGTGCAGGTTCCTCATGAGCATTATTGTTTTAGAATCCCCACTCTTTGAAATGTTGTTATTCCATAATTTCTTATTATACACACAGCCTTTTCATACGCAATAAAACACAAGTAAACATCATTTTGGTTTTCACTGCTTTCAGCCAAGATCCAGCTGATGTATCTGGTCTCAGCAGTGATAGCCTTCATTTCTTGTCCTCTTCGGATTCTGACTTCGATTTCCGACAGCTCGCTGTTGATATGCTGCTGCAATCATTTTCAAATTTTCTTCAGCAACATTTTACTTGCATGAGCTGTTAATGCTGTTCAATGATTTTCACATTTCATTAGTCCAAACCAGTGAGTGCCTCCAGCACAGCATCAGTTTGTTGAAATATTTCAATTTGTCTTTCGGCACTTCCTGGATCATTGCTTATTTGCAATGCTTTCAGTGTAGTTTGCATGTCTTTCTTCAGTATCACTGGTTCTTGATCATACACTGCCTCTTGAAATGGCTGAACATCAACCATTCCTTGTGGTACAGTTACTCTGTTTTCCTTCCATCTTCTTTTGATGCTTCCTGCATCACTCAATAGTTTACCCGTATAATCTTTCAGTATTGCAAGTTGTGACTTGAATTTGTAAGTCAGCTCTTTCAGCTTGAGAAATACTGAGCATGTTCTTCCCTTTTAGCTTTCTGACTCCAGGTCTTTGTGCATTTCGTTACAGCTGCCTTTTAACTTTTCCGTTCAGCTCTTTTACTTCCTCATTTCTTCCATTGGCTTTAGCTTCTCAATGTTCAAGAGCAATTTCAGAATCTCTTCTCATATCCATTTTGGTCTTTTCTTTTTTTCCCCACCTTTAAATTACCTTTTGTTTTCTTCACGTATGATGGACTTGATGTCATACCACGTCTCTTATGGTCTTCAGTCATTACACAAATGCATCAAAGCTGTTCTTGATATGGTTTCTAAATTTAGGTGGGATATACTCAAGGTAATATTTTGGCTCCTGTGGACTTAATTTTCTTCCGCTTCAGCCTGAACTTGCATATGGGCAATTGATGATGTGATCCACAGTCAGCTCCTGGTCTTATTTTGAGCTACTCTCTCTTCTTTGTCAACAGATGTGGTCCATTTGATTACAGTGTATTCCATCTGGTGAGGTCCACATGTATTGTCACAATTTATATTGTTGACAAAAGGTATTTGTAATCAGTCCATCATTGGTATTGCACATTCTATCATGTAGTCTTAAGCATCATTTCTATCACCTTTCTCCTTGTTTCCAACTTTTGCTTTCCAATCACCTGTAAGTATCAGTGCATCTTGATTGCATATTTCATCCTTCTCAGACTGAAGAAGGTGGTAGAAATCTTTGATTTGTTCATCATTAGTTTTAGTAGATGGTTGGTAAATTTGGATAATGTTGGTATTAACTGGTCTTCCTTGTAAAAGTGTGGATTGTATCTTATCACAGACAGCATTATACTTCAAGCTAGATCTTGAAATGGTCTTTTTTTAAGGAATGCCATTACTCGCCAATGTTTCTTTCTTGCCATTGTAAACCCCATGATTGTCTGATACAAAATGGCCAATACCAGTCAATTTCAGCCACTCACCAGTATCTAGCAGGACTCCTGGTACAGTGCTGTAGGATCAGCGCTGGACTTTGAATCACAAGGTCTGCAGTTCACACCTATCAGCTGTTCCTCGGAAACCCTACACAGGGTCACTCTGAGTCGAAACCAACTCAATGGCAAGTAACAAAAACAATAAACGCCTCAGACATCAATCTTTGTGATACATTTAGTTTTTAATGACATCCAATTTTCCTAGTTTCCTACTTCATATGTTCCATGTGTTGATTTTTGATGGATGTTTGCAGCTGTTTCTAATTAATTTCAGTTGGTTACTACCAGGCAGTGAAGGTTCTGAAAGCTTTATCTCATTCACATCATGAAGATTGACTCTCCTTTAAGGAGGGAGATAGATAGGCTTTATCTGCACCAATATGCTTTACTTTGAGGACGTAGCTTTTCCTCAGTCAAATTTTCAGCATTTCCTAACCTGAGTGGTTCATCTGTAGGCACTGCATCAGACAACACTCCAATGCTATTTGTAAGATTTTCAACTGCAAACCCTCCAGAAGTGGTTTGCCTCTCCTTCTTCCTGTTCTGCCTTATCTGGAAACTGGTGAAACCTTTCCACCAGGGGTGACCATGCTGATGTTTAAAATACTGGTGGTATAGCTCCCAACATCACCGCTATGCACAAGTCATCATTGTAACTCAAACAGACAGATGAGTTTTATTACTCATTAGGAAATAGAAATTGCGAAACTATATTTTTTGGGATTTATAATATCAAAGTATTTCAAAGAAGAGCATGCTTATCTAAGTGTCTGATACTATTATCAAGTCTATAAATCATTCATTTTGGGAGGTTTCTTATGCTTTCAGATAACGTATTGTAAATAAGCTATGTTAAACACTGAGATAAGTTTGTCTCTTATTGTAAAGATTTTTGGTAATTAGGTTATCGGGAATGATTGCTGTCTGGCTGTTCTATTCCAGGGTCCCTGCACTGGGAATCAGCAGAGTTTGGCACACAGTAGACTGTGGGACGCTGTGGTGGGGTTTCTTCATGTCTTTGCACACATGCAAATGAAGCTGTCTCAGGTAAATTGCTTGTCTCTTACCCTCCTACTCCACAAACTGGAAACTTGGAGTCACCCAGAAAGTAAGCAGTGTTTATTATGTTTGAACATTATCTTTTAGATCATTTCTTAAAAAATATTTTTTAAAAATGAAAGAATGTAAAGGAAGCTAAAAACAGATGACAGCCATTATTAAAATTTGAAAACAAAAGAGTCTCGAGCATTTGAACGTAGTGGAGAAATGAAATTACATAGTGCACAAACAGTCTTTCAAAGACCCATTTCTTGGTAATTGCTCACTGGAATTTTCCTTCCACACTCTTGTTGTTGCTAAGTGCCATTGAGTCGGTTCCAACTCATGGTGATTCTGTATAGGGTTTCTGAGGAGTGGCTGGGAGTGAGTTTGAACTGTCAACCTTGCAGTTCAAACCGACCTTGCAGTCGAGTATTCATCCTACAGCACTACACCTGGACTCCGCCACTATAGAGAACTGAAAAAGGATTGTACCAAATATTATTAGGCTTGTCAAAGGGGAAATTTTCTTGTTGTTGTTGAGTGTCATCAAGTTGGTTCTGACTCATTGCAACCCTGTGTAGGGTTTCTGAGGAGTTCGAACCATGCCTTATAGTTTGAACCATCAACCTTGCTTTCCAAACCAGTTTTGTGATCCAATGCATTATCCTGCAATGCCACGTTTTCTTAAAGGGTTGTACACAAGCAACTGTTCTTAGTAGATGACATTCACCATTAACAGGAAATTTAATTTTGTGAAGATAAAAAAGAAAAAAAAAAAAGCAAGTACAGAATATGCACATTTTCCACAGTATGTAAATATTGGCAGTGCATATTGAAAACTGCGTGTTTTTTTTCTTATTGTTACTTTGATTTCATGTAATAAGATATACATGAAAAGAAAAATTCTTACTCCAAATCTTGAGTAGATGTGGTACTTTAATGTACTGAATTTTGATTCTGTGTTCTGAGACATATCTTTCAGGACATGGATGTTTGCCAGGTGATTAGGTGGAAGATTGTTGTTGTTGTTAAGTGTCATGGAGTCGATACCAACTCATAGTGACCCTATGCACAACAGAACAAAACACTGTCCGGTCCTGCGCCAACCACACAATAGCTGCTACACTCGAGCCCATCGATGCTGCTGCCACTGTGCCAATCCATCTCATTGGAGGTCTTCCTCTTTCTCGTTGACCCTCCGCTTTACCAAACATGATATCCTTCTCCAGTGACTGGTCCTTCCTGACAATATACATGAAGTATGAAAGACAAAGTCTGGCCATCCTGACTTCCACGAAGCACTCTGGCTGCACTTCTTCCAACACAGATCTATTTGTTCTTTTGGCAGTCCATGATACTTTCGATATTCTCCTCCAAAACCATAACTCAAATGCATCAATTATTCTTCCTTATTCGCTCTCTAACCTTCACATGCATAGGAGATTATTGAAAATGCAACAGGTAGAAGATAGAATGCTAGAAATAAAGTCAGAATAAGAATAGTCAAGTCCCCACCTAGTCATTTACTTGTCCCACAAGCCTGGGCCATCTCCTCAACCTCCCTGAACAACATTCTGTCTATGGCATAGTAAGCAGAATTAAACCTTAAACCTGCTTTAAATATGGAAAAAGAGCTAGTTGCTGGTGATGTAAATATAATATGGAAATCTCAGCATTCTCTCACAAGTCAGAAATAGTATTTTAGTAAATGAAGAAAACCAACACAAACCAATTTGTACACTCACAAGAGGGTTCTCATTCTGATATATTTTGATGATTTCAATACCTGATATTGGTAGTTATTGATGTAATTTGTAGAGACTTTATCTTTGTAAAGAAAAAGTTTTGTAGAAATTTAACTTTGTAAGTAACAATATCTAGATAAATAAAATGCATATATATTTTAAAAACTATAAAGAAGAAAATGGATTATTTAAAATAAAAAGTTGATATGTAAGATTGTTATATATGTTGCATGCTTCTAGTTATTGGGCCCAAAGAGTAGTGGATATTTAGATACAAATGTCTTATGTAGAAAGATTTGATTTTTCATAGTGAAAAAAAATTAAAATAAAACAAACAAAATCACAGAAATTTGATGAGAGAAATACTGGATAACTTAGTAAAATTGGTAAACATAGTGCATTCACTGTACAATATTAGTATACATCACGCTTCTATACATATTTTATAGATTTACAGTTTATTTTTGGTTTCAGTTATTAATTTAATTAATATAATTTAGGGAGTGGTTCAAGCTCACCAGCGGCTCCTAAGAAACCCTATACAGGGTTGCTATGGGTGTGAACTGACTCAACAGCACTTAACAACATCAACATCATTTATATACCTTATTTTTCTAGGATTTCTTAAATTTTACATGAGATATAGCAGCAGTCTGTCATAAGGTGCAAAGGAAAAAAAAAAAAAACTAATTGCCACCAAATCCACTGCCACTGGGTCAATTATGAGTCATAGTTACCATTTAGGATGGAATAGAACTGCCTCGTAGGTTTCCAAGGCTGTAATCTTTACGGGTGCAGGTTGTCACATCTTTTTCTCTCTGAGCAGTCCATGGGTTTGAACCTCTGACACTTTAACCACTGTGCACTGGTCTGCTTCAGAGACTAAAGATTCAAGTGCCTGGACCAGGGACTTGAACCCTGGAGTCTCAGGTTAGAAAGTACAGCCAGCAGCACTTCAAGTAAAAGACATACGTCAAATGATCACAAGTCCCCAAGTATTGTTATTGTCCCCATTTGAAAGCTGCCCCTTCCCCCCCCACTTTAATTCTCTATTTTTGTTATAAATGTGAGTCATCCTTACAAATACTATAATAAGCATGATTTGGCATCTTAAATGCTCCTTCATTCTGAAAGCTAGCTTTAATAGACTACCTATGTAGGCTTGATACTATTGGTACAAGGGTACTTCTTTTGTGAGAACAAGTTTCTCCCGCATAGTTTCTTCAGATGGTCTCATATTATCTTAATTTTTCAGGATTCCAGTCAAATTGAACTATTAAAAGAATTAATGGATCTTCAGAAGGATATGGTGGTCATGCTGCTGTCCATGTTAGAAGGTAGTTTTGATTTATATTTGCAAGTTTATCCTTTCACTTTGAGGATCATTGTGTGCTTGCTTATGTAGTAACTTTGCTTCAGTGAATAATATAAGGGCGTGGAGTCCTGGTGTGGTGCTGTAGGATAAACACTGGACCACTAGATTGTTTTGAACTGCAAGGTTGGCAGCTCAAACTCACCAGAAGCTGCTCGACAATCCTATACAGGCTAACTATGAGTTGAAACCGACTTAAAAACTCTTAAAAAACAATAACAAGAAGTGGCAGCTACCTTAAATTATTTTCTGGCTTTATTACTCTATTTACAAGTAAATTAAATTTTTTTTTTCTTTTAAAGAGAATCCTGCTCTTCTTAGAACATCTCTACCAGATGAAAACAGTAACACTTTTCATTTCATTGTTGTTCTGACTCATAACAACCCCACATAGGGTTTCCAAGAAGTGGCTAGTGGATTTGAACCACTGACCATAGTGATATGCTAAAAAGTAAGCTTTTCGGATGCATAGTATATAAAGAAGGACTCCTAGTTTGGTGCTGTAGGATAAGCACTGTACTGCAAGGTCTGTTTGACCCACAAGGTCAGAGATTCAAACTCACCAGCTGTTCTTTGGAAACCCTCCCTATACTGGGCCACTGACTCATTGGCACTTAACAACAATTCAGTATTCTACATCAATTCCACATAAATTCCACTTAATTGATGTGGAATATTAAATATCATTTAAAATCAGTTTTAATTGATGTGCAATACAGACATTGGATAAAGTTCAAGTATGCAGATTGCTGATTTTGAGATCACACATTGGAGTTGGCAAGCCAGTGTATAACCCACGGTGCCACCAGGGCTACGAAGGGTTAATGATTGTTGTTAAGTGCTGCGGAGTTGTTTCAACTCATAGTGTCCCTGTTTAGGGTTTCCAAGGTGTGGTTGGTATGTTTGAACTGCCTACCTTGTGGGTTGAAATCCACTGCTTATCCTATAGCGCTGCATGATAAATGAAATCATGGAAATATGACCAGAGAGCAGCTGGTGAGTTTGAACTGCCAACCTTGTGGTTCAAACCAACTTTGCCGTCCGGCGCATTAACTCACAACATCTCACTAGGACTTCTTTGAAGGCGAATTTCAGTTTCCTGGTGCTTTACCCCCTTTTCATTATCATAAAATCCATTGTTTCATTGAAAGAGTTGAGGAAAATGTTAGCTTTTGTTCAATTGTTTTATGTAATTATTGACTGTTTGGCCTAATATAGGTGAAATTTAAAGAGTAGAACAGAGTTGCGGGTGATATTCATTATTTTTTAGCCGATTTGTTCTGTAGCTGCAAAGTGACCTTATTGCTGTTGTTAAAAGACATCAAGTTGTTTCTGCCTCACAGTGACTGTATAGAGTTTGTGGGGAGTGGCTGGTGGGCTTGAACCACCAACCTTGTGGTTTGCAGTCCAGTGCTGATCCTACAGTGCCACACCAGGAGCACACAAAGTGCCCTTAGGAGTTAGTTTCAGTTTGAGGTTTGAAGACTATCTCAGGGCAGTAGATTGAAGGAGTCCTCCATTCTCAACCATTCCAATGGGTCTGGTTATTTATTTACTTATTTTAGGGATTTGTTGTTCTGTTCCTTATTTTTCTCCCATTCTGACAGGGTCCATCTACTGTGACCCTGATCAGAACCATTAGTACAGGTAGCTGGGCACCATCTAGCTCTTCTGTTCTCAGCATCAGTGAGGTGGTAGTTCATGTCGATTATTTGTCCTATAGACTCATTTCCATAATTATTTCCAAAACTAAAGTTTATCAACAATTATCCTTCCTTACCCAAGATTTCTTACGTTGAAAGATAAACAAGGGGAGACATCCGTAATATTACAGCTGTATCACTATATTTTCTCTGTGTATACTGGTTTTATTAAGAATGTTCATTTTGAACCAATGCAATTGCTTTGTCACCAGGTAATGTTGTGAATGGAACAATTGGCAAACAGATGGTTGATATGCTTGTAGAGTCGTCCAACAATGTCGAGATGATTCTCAAATTTTTTGACATGTTCTTAAAGCTGAAGGACTTGACATCTTCTGATACGTTTAAAGACTATGACCCTGATGGCAAGGGAGTCATTTCTAAGCGGGACTTCCATAAAGCAATGGAGAGCCATAAGCACTACACGCAATCGGAAACAGAGTTTCTTTTGTCCTGTGCGGAGACAGATGAAAACGAAACGCTGGACTACGAAGAGTTTGTAAAACGCTTCCACGAACCTGCAAAGGATATCAGCTTCAATGTTGCTGTCCTCCTGACAAATCTGTCAGAACACATGCCCAATGATTCCCGACTGCAGACTTTCCTTGAATTGGCAGAGAGCGTATTGAATTACTTCCAGCCCTTTCTGGGACGCATTGAGATCATGGGAAGTGCTAAGCGCATTGAGAGGGTTTATTTTGAAATCAGTGAATCGAGCCGGACCCAATGGGAGAAGCCCCAGGTCAAAGAATCCAAAAGGCAGTTCATATTTGATGTGGTCAACGAAGGAGGAGAGAAAGAGAAAATGGAGCTCTTCGTGAACTTCTGTGAGGACACCATATTTGAAATGCAGCTGGCAGCTCAGATCTCAGAGTCAGACTTGAATGAGAGGTCCACAAATAAGGAAGACAGTGAGAAAGAGAAGCCCGAAGAGCAGGAGCCAAGAATGGGGTTCTTTTCGATTCTGACAGTCAAGTCTGCACTGTTTGCTCTCAGATATAATATCTTGACTCTTATGAGAATGCTCAGCCTGAAGAGCTTGAAAAAACAGATGAAGAAAGTGAAGAAGATGACAATGAAGGACATCGTCATGGCCTTCTTTTCATCCTATTGGAGTATTTTCTTGAGCCTCTTGCACTTTGTAGCCAGTGTTTTCCGAGGCTTTTTCCGCATTATTTGTAGCCTGCTGTTGGGAGGGAGCCTAGTCGAAGGTGCTAAAAAGATCAAAGTTGCAGAACTCTTAGCCAATATGCCAGACCCCACTCAGGATGAAGTCAGAGGAGATGGAGAGGAGGGAGAGAGGAAACCCATGGAAGTCGCCCTGCCCTCTGAGGACCTGACAGACTTAAAGGAGCTCACAGAGGAAAGCGACCTTCTTTCGGACATATTTGGCTTGGATCTGAAGAGAGAAGGCGGGCAGTACAAACTTATTCCTCACAATCCAAATGCTGGCCTTAGTGACCTAATGAGCAACCCTGTCCCCATACCTGAGGTGCAAGAAAAAGTTCAGGTAATTTTTTCTGAGTTCATAGCCACTCTCTGGACTTGAGGTGGGTTTGGTAGATGAACTTCTGATCAGATTCCACGCCATTGACAGAGCAGCATTAAGTATATGACTTGATAGGAAGTCTTTTAAAGATTCTTCATCCGATATTAAATTGCCTTAACCTGTTATGATGTAAGATCAAGTGTCCACCCTGATGAGATTAGTTATTTGAGCCATCATTCCAGCTACAGTATTTCATCAGTACTTACCATTGATCTGACGCCATTGGGTATCATCAGGAATGAAAAGAAGTATCAGATGTGGTCATTGCTGTCACGTTGCCTTAAACAATTCATTAGAGAGATAAAACACGCATATGACCAAACAGAAAAGTATTAAGTGTTAAACAGGATAGACACCAACAGTAATGGTTGTGTATGTTGAGAAAACGTGAACGTGATATGATTTAAATGAAATTTAATGGTTGGCCTTGAAGGATGAATGAGATTTGGTTAGATGAATGAGGTGAAGAAAAGTATTTCTGAAGTGAGGAAGGAAGGGGAAATGGGCACTGCCTGTGCAGTAGGTCAGTGTGGAGAAAGGACAGACATTTGCACCGCTCAAATGCAAGTCACGCTTGGAAGCTTACTCTCCACATAGACATGCAGGTGCTACTGGAAGGTGACAGTTTGGAACTGGTCACCCATCACTGAGCTTATTCAGAGGTGATGCATAATCCTGCTTTTCTCTCCCCCATTGACTCGTTCAAGGAACAGAAGGTAAAAGAAGAAAAGGAAGGAAAAGAAGAAAGCAAATCGGAACCGGAGAAAGCCGAGTATGTATGGTTTCCGTGTGCTTTGCTTTGTTTTAGGAAGTCTCTTCTGGTACTCTGCCTCTCAGGTCTGTAGTGGGGAACCGTACGCTTTTAATTCTGCAGAAATGCTCAGCCCTGCACAGGGGCCTCCTGGCAAAATTCTGAGTCAGAGGCTCTGGGTGTAAGGACTGAAGTTTCGCGGCCTCGGTCCACTACAGGAATAAGTGCCCACACCCCAGCGGTCACTACTCTCTCTTCCACCTTTCATGAGAGGCTTGACTGTGTGTTTCTCTCACAGCAGAAAAGACTCCAGGGATTCTACGTAATATGCCCCACAAGGGGACAGATTGCCACAGTTGTTTCTGGAAACTGTGCTTGCTCTGCTCTCCATTACAAGATGTGGGGGCAAACACTCCACATTCTGTTTCATCAAAAAATCCTTGTAAGGCCACATGCATGAAAATGGCCTGGAGAGGTTGTCAAAGTTGCAGGGTCATGAGCCCTCCTCCCCCAGGGGATTCTGGATCCGCGGATTGATTGTAGTGTTTAGGAATTTTCATTTTCGTAAACCTTGTGTGTGGTGTTGGGGAATGCAATTACAACTAACAATGAACATAGGCATGAAATCCAAAGCATTGAAAAGGTACGGCTATAATGCCACCATAAAAAGATGGAATCCTACATCTTTTCTCAGTTTATTTCATTTTGTATGCATACTTTTTTTAGATTTGGGAAAAAGAAACCTGAAGTGCATATGGTCGCTGTTCTCACATACCATTTCACATGTTTCTGCTCTATTCCTTGACCTGTTTTCATAGTCTGTTCTCTACACTCAGTGATACCCTTTGCTAAGATTTTACACTATTGGCTCAATTATAAAAATGGCTGCATTTTTATACTATTATAATAAAATATTAGCATACGTAACAGGACAGAACAAGCATTTCGATGGCATTTCTTTTTCCAATGTGAGAAAAAATATTGGATATACTTCATATGGCTTAAAATGAAGATTAATTTTAAAGACACGAATGCATGACTATATATGTCGATAAATATATAGTTATGAAGATACAGTGTTTTGTACCTAGAGAGTTTTTGGATATTAAATTTCAACATTTCTAGTAGTAGCATTGTCTTCGCAACTAATATATTGGCCTTTTTTATGCACATGATCAGCTAGGTGCATATGTCTCTTAATTTTGAATCTTGTAATTCTGTGTTAAAGACTGAGCATTAAAATGAAGCTCAAAGTATGTTGGACGGTCACAGCAAAATAAATTCCAAGTTAAGTTGTTCTCCTTTCAATTAAATTTTGTTGTTGTTGTTGCACAATTAGAAGGGAATTAGCCACGTACAGATTCCTGAAGCCTCCAGAATGCCCTGTGGATTTAAACTTCTCAGAATTACCCATCTACAGGGAGCTATGATCAGCAGGAATTCTCACTCCTAATTCTAAAATTCTGAATATTATAATTAAGTGGAAATGAAATTAGTTTTGAAAAAAAAGATACTAATGATTACAAACATTTGATCTCCTGTATAGTTTTGCACAAGACTTGTTCACCTCTTTAGTTTCTAGATGCCTTATATTCCATTTATTTGTTTTCACAGGGGAGAGGATGGAGAAAAAGAAGAAAAGTCCAAAGAAGACAAGGGTAAACAAAAGTTGAGGCAACTTCACACACATAGATATGGAGAGCCAGAAGTTCCAGAGTCAGCATTCTGGAAGAAAATCATAGCCTATCAACAGAAACTTCTAGTAAGATGTTTTAGAATGAATATTGTTACCAATATATAGAGATATATAGTGATACAGTACTTTTTTGTAATGGAAGAATGAGTAGAAAAGACAGTTCCTCATGTAGTGTCCTATACATTTTACAAAATGCTCCCCAAATTAGAGTAATGCAAAGTTGTATATGGAAAAAAAAGAAGGAAGTATAGTTCTCAATTCTAATAGTCAGGAATTTTTTTAAAATCTTGTTTGAAGTCACGTAAATGTGTGTGTGTTATGTCTTTTATACACATATACATGCCTTTTAATTACAATCCAACAACACATATTTAAAAATAAACAAAAAAACCCCGAGCTTCTGAATAGTCGATTCTGACCCATAGCAACTCTATAGAACAGCCTAGAGCTTACTGTCGTTGCGTTTCCAGGGCTGTAATCTTTATAGAAGAAGACTGCCTTATCTTTCTCCTGTAAAGTGACTGTTATTGTTATTAAGTGCCATCAAATTGGTTCCAACTCACAGTGACCCTGTATAGAGTTTCTGAGGAGTGGCTGGTGGGTTTAACGCCAACCTTGCAGTTAGTAGCGTAATGTTTATCTTACAGAGCCACACCAAGACTCCCACAGAGTGACTATAGTGACTTCACACTGACAACCTTTCATTTAGCAGGTGAACACTTAAACACTATGCCAGCAGGGCTCCTTTCAAAAGTCAAAAAGACTTGCTATGAAATAATTGTTGTTGGTAGTGTTAAGTGCCATCAAGTCAGTTTTGACTCAGAGCGACCCACCCTGTTTAGGATTTCTGAGGAGTGGTTGGTGAGTTTGAACCAACACCCTTGAAGTTTAGACCAACTTTATGGTCCAGTGCATTATCCTACAAAATAATAGACACCTTCATTAAACAAAATATCCAAATATGAAGTTACTGATTTCAACATTTCCTCTATCTAGGTCTATACACTTCTCTCTAACCCTTCCCTAAGGAATTTCATTCACACCACTTCAAAACAACAGTTTTAGTAACCTCTAGGCCACAAATTGTGTTCCTTTTAAAAGTTCTTGGAGTTTCAGAATCAAAAGAAAGTCAAGATCAGGGTTGTAGGATAGATAGGATAAGATTTTCCAACAACATTTTTCTTGGAACGGGCTTGCTGCATGTAAAGAATAAGAAGGTGCATTCTCTTGATGGAAAAAAAAAATTCTCGAACTTTCCTGGCCTTTTTCTCACCAACACAGTTTTCAGTTTTCTTAAAACTTCTTCCTAATGAGCCTCCATAATGGTGTCTCTTGAGAAAATCTATCAAGATGACTCTTTTGGAATGCAAAAACAAGTCTCCATAACCATCTGGGCTGCCCTCTCTGCCTTGAATTTAAAGGGCTTAGAAACCACTGTTTTCAGTTGATCATTTTGAAAGGCACACTGACAAGACTAAAACTAGTGTATCCCTGGGAGAATTTGTGTGCAGCCATACACTGCTCACAGAAACATGTTCAAACAGGTGTTATTTGGACTAAGCCTGTGCATGTGTGAACTAGAACCCTATTAGCAATACTTTTCGGCTTGCCCTTTATATACATCTGTTTATAAATAAAGATGAGAGAAGATGAATGTGTAGAATGAATCTACAAGAGGTACAGACTCTTAATTTGGACCTAGAAATTATGAATACCTCCCCAGAAAAACATTTGAAAGGCAAAGTCATATTTAGTGTTTTACAGATCTTGAGAAGTAAAAAAATGGGCAGTTAAGAAGTTGAATGTGTTATGAAACTTTACCTATCAAGGCAATGGAGTGTCCTCACAAATTATATGTTTTAATTGCTTATGTACAAAAAATACTACAAAGGTCAATCAATATTTTAATTAATAGTTTTAAATATATTTTTTTAACTATCTCATATTTTTCCTACCTATAAAGTACACTGGACATAAATGCTTCCTCAATATCTCTGAATGGCCGTTAATTTAATAGATACTGATATAGTGATGGTTGCCATTGTTCCTGGTGTAGCTATGTTATATGTGGTGTGGCAGAAGGTTGTCTGGGCTTGGCACTAATCTGCAGTAGTGGATATAGTGGATACCCGAAGGGTGCATTTAACAAGAAGCTGTTAATTGAAGTCATTGAGGTTTTGCTTCCATCTCTTTGTCTCAGGGCTCCCGTTCTCCATGTTCCTGATTTTCATCTCAGTCCTTCTCTGCTGATCACTTGGCCTGCACACAACTAATCATGGCCACCTGGGTACATACAGGTCTACTGCACGCCACCTCTTTTTGATTTCCCAGCTCACATCTCCAGGGCAGACTCAAGTCTCTTTAACCCAGTTTTACCTCCCAGGAGAATCAGTGTGATTTGACACAGTTTGCGGTAGGGGCTACCCTTGGTCCACTGAACTGTGGCAGTAAAGGCAGGGTGTGTGGGGGAGATCCCATCAGAGGGGAAAAGTGAAATGTGTGATCATTTTTATATGGCATCATGCTATCAAAGAACTTGACACATCTACCAGGATATTTTATGAACACTTCACACTTAATTTTTTAAAACAAAATGCATAACTTCCCCCATAGATGATTTCCTTAGACCAACTTCTGCTTCCGGCATTTTATTTTGTTTTTCCAGCTCAATAAATGGCACTGACCATTGACTTAGTTGCTAGAGCCAAAAATCCAGGACTTAGCTTCTTTCTTTTTCACCTCAAACACAATTTGACAGGAATGTTTCTCAGCTCTTCCTTTAAAATGTATCTTAAATCAGCCCACTCCTTACCATATTTATAACTAAAACGCCAATCCAAGTTACTATCATCATCATCATCATCATCATCATCATCTCACCCTGAGTTCCTGTAATAACTTATAACTTCCACTCTTTACCATTGCTAAATATTTCCCACAAAGTCACCAGAGTAGTCATTTCAAATCACAAGTCTGATTGCATCATGCTATCTTTATCTTCAAAATACCCCATTAGACTCAATTACCCATGGAATAAAATAATACCAATTATAATAATAAGCTCAATAGCTGATCTCTTCTATGTGCTAGGCACCGTTCTAGGAATTCTTGTTTTATATATTAACTCATTTAAGCTTCTCAGCAATCTTATGAGGTTGATTCTATTGTTACCCCACTTCACAGATGAGGAAAGGGATTCAAGAAAATGAATTAAGTGACTTATCCAAGATTTTGTGGCTAATGAGTAAGGGGGGCAGAATTTGTATCTTGACAAGGTGGCTCCAGACTCTTATCCACTGTAACCCTAAAATCCTTTCAGAGGTTTACAAAACCCTGACCCCTGCTCACCTCTGGGACCTCATTCTATTTGACTCTCCTCTTCTCACTTTGCTCCTCTTACTGTTCCTCAAACATGCCAGCATTATTCTGAACTCAGGACCTTCACCTTAATGCTCTCTCTCTCTCTGAAACACTCTGCCTAACTGTTCACTTGGCCCACTCCCCGACTGTGTTCAGGTCTCTGCGCCCATGACACCTCCTGAGATCAACCTTTCCTGACCATCCTTCTCTGTGCCCTTAAATGGCACCTTGCCGTTACCCTATTGTATTTTTCTTCATAACATTTACATTTCCTGAAATTACATTTTATATGTGTGCATATGGTTCTTTATTATTTTTCTCCTTAGTAATGGTATTTTTTCCTTATTCTCTGGTCTATACATAGTATGCTCTCAATAATTATTTTTGAATGAATGAATAAATGCTTTGTTTGTCTGCATATTTCAAGTCTCTTGATTCAGTGACCTTTTATATTTTTTTCACCTTCAGAACTATTTTGCTCGCAACTTTTACAACATGAGAATGTTAGCCTTATTTGTTGCGTTTGCAATCAATTTCATCTTGCTCTTTTATAAGGTATGTACATCTTAGTAATTTTTAGTAAACAGTATGTATAATACTGCAAATAGAATTGAATTTAGAGAATTTAGAAATGTACTAGTGAATGCATCTAAACCTATTCTGTAATACATTTGATGACAGACAAAATGTGGGGTTCAAACACATCACTGATTATCAGCTAAGGTGGAATAGATTTGTTCATATGAAGAAAAACAATAAATGTGAGAAATGGCTCAAATGTTTGCTTTGGCAGAAGGTTTACCCACAGTATTCCTTACTAATGTGGTTGGATATCTTACTACTGTATGTGAAATGTAGCATGCCTCTATTCTGTGACGTTCTTGGGACAGCTGAGAAGTCAGCTTTGTTGCTGTTGTTGTTGAGTGTCGTTGAGTCGGTTCCAACTGTTTAGGGTTTCTGGAGGGTGGCTGGTGAGTTTGAACCACTGATCTTGCAATTCAAACCGACTTTGAGGTCGAGTGTTTATCCTATGGTGCCACACTGGTATCTAATATTTCCCTGCCTGTGTTGGAATCCTCATAAGTCATGGTTGGTTTAGAATGAATTTAGACGAGTTCAAGTATGTTCTTTGCTTTGGGGTTTTGAAAAGCCTTCTTTTTATCCTTTTGGACCTCTTGTCATTCAGTGGTTTCATACACAATTTCATATGCCATTGGCTGACAAAGCTTCATTTCCATTGTTTGTTTGTTTGTTTTGTTAACAACATGTTAAATCCAGTGAACTGACTCTAACTTGAACGGTTTTAATTAGGTCTCCACCTCTTCTGTGGTTGAAGGAAAGGAGCCGCCCCCTCGAAGTTCAGGTGACAGTGCCCACATAAGCAGCCTGGACAGTGGCTCCCCGAGCCTCATTGCAGTTCACTACGTCCTGGAGGAGAGCAGCGGCTACATGGAACCCATGCTGCGCATTTTAGCTATTCTCCACACGGTCATTTCTTTCTTCTGCATCATCGGATACTACTGCTTGAAAGTAAGATAGTGAGGGCCAGGGTACTCATGCACATCAGTGTGTGTGCATGTCTCTTGTCTGTTACAGGTTGTAGTTCCCATAGAGCAGATCTGAGATGGGAATTAGCCTGTCCATCTTCTGCTATGGAATGTTCTCTGAATCAACACATGTGGGGCAAAGAAAGAACCTAGGAGATGGCAGCACCTCTGGTGTAAACACAGCAGGCTGTAGGCACAGGCCCAGCCTTGATTCTGGATGCCCCTTCAGAGTCCTCCTTGACTGGGACGAGGAAGCTTGACAGTTATAACCCCACATTGATCTGTGATGGACTACAAGCTGCCCTGGGAAGGGGATGTGGCCTTGGCCTGTTTCTCTTATAGTTTTCTTTCACGTACATATAATTACTCACAGTTGTACTGTATGTGCCCCATACCTCACCCATCCACTGTGTCTCACAGTGATGTTCCAGTGTATGAGGACTTTTAGAAATCTATCAATATGGAATGGGTAGGTCATTTTGATTGTTGTGTTATTGACTACATGTCTCCTACCACCTTGGCAGAAATGCTTCCCAGTTTGTCACTGTTGATCCAGAAAATAATGCAGCATTAAACCTACATTCAACCTAGAACCTTGCTTGTTGTTGTTGTTGTTGTTGTTAAGTGCTGTGGAGTTGGTGCCGACTCATAGCGACCCTGTACAGGGTTTCCGGGACTGTAAATCTTTATAGGAGCAGAAAGCGAACCTTGCTTAGGAAACAGTATCATTTGGTAACTTGAACTCAAGAAAGTTTCTCTGGAAGCTCGAGCCTTCCTTTTACTTTTCAAGCTTCTCTATGTTTTTGAGCAAGACACCTTTTTGTTGGAACCTTTTTATTTTGCCATCTCCTCTGACTGTGCTTGTGAAGCTCCTAGAAGTTTGGGGGTAAAACAGACTCGAATGTAAAAGTTTTTTTCAGAAACTCCTCTACTTTCTTTTCCTTCTTGTGTTTCATGGAGAGAATACTATTAGATATTTCCAGAATATCTGCATCTTTATTGTTTCTGTGCTCTTAGAGAGTCTGTTCATGTGAAAAGAATCAATGTGTTCTGGAGACATTTGGCAAATGGACAAAGATTTTTGCTGATGTTGAAATTAAAGTTTATTTTTAAATAGCATGTGGTCATGCTGAGAATGGAATTATTACAGAGATTTCTAAAATAAAGCACTGCATCTTTTAGAAGTGTGAATTTTGGAACACTAGTAAAGTTGCCATATTGTATTACATTTATTCGTGTTGTATATATGTATATGTACAAGGGGGCTACAAAGTTTTCACAGAAAAATTTCTGTATCTTTTCATTGCATTTTTCCATGAGCTTTTTGAAGCCTCCTTGTATTTGTAAATGTAAAAGAAAATATGATTTGCATAATCATCTTTTTCTCTTTGGTATGTAAAAGTTATATCATTAGTGCAATTATCTATGAATTTCTGTATTTAAAAACAAAAATATACATATGGTATATATCCATATATAATACTTTTTGTATCTTCTGCTGTTTTCAAAATCTAGATGGCCTCTTGCTGCCTGAATAGAGTGGATTCATTTTCATTCAATTTTACCTTCTTCAAAGTACATAGGAAATATTTCCTTCCAGAAGCTGTTTTATAAAGATAGTAACCACAAGAGATATCAATGAATCTAAACTAATTTTAGCATATTTATTTTTTTGAATGTAGGTCCCCTTGGTAATTTTTAAGCGCGAAAAGGAAGTAGCACGAAAATTGGAATTTGATGGACTTTATATTACAGAACAGCCTTCAGAAGATGATATTAAAGGCCAGTGGGATAGACTCGTAATCAACACTCAGTGAGTAAAGAATTATATAAGACATTTCTATGTTCCAGAATTTCAAGATATAAAAATACTTTGCTGAAGTTCCTGCAGATTTGTCAGGAGTTTAGCAGAGGTGAATAATAGTTATAGTCAACCAAGAAAGTCAAAGACTAAGCACTTCAGTCTCCTCATGGCCGCCATCAGTTTTTGCCCTGTGCTCTGAATTCCGCAGCACTGACGGAACTTGGCCTCCGTTACTCATCGCTCAGGCTCATAACCTGCTGCAAGAGGTTACGTTATCCAGAATCACAAAGGAGCAAAAATCATTCACTAAAGACAGGAACTAGAGCATGAAAGGAAAAATACTGAATTTCACGTTTTACATGTATGAGTCATAAACTTCCAACAGCCTAGCATAAAACTAGCCAAGCAGTAAGACATGTAAAATATGTATTATTTGTCCTTGAGAGATCAAGATCCAAACCAGGTCAAAGTCTGTCATACATTTATAAATTTCCACCATAAAAAGTCTGTTGTTGTTACGTGCCATCGAGTTGGTTCCAATCCATAGCGACCTTGTATAGGGTTTTCAAGTATCAGCAGTGCATTAGTCCATAGGACCACACCAGGACTCCATCATATGTACAGCGATGCATTATTTTTTTAGGAGTTTGCACTACTCAAGAATAAAATGTCTTCTCTACTAGTTGTTCTTGTTCTTGAGAAGTTATCATTCCTAATAGGTTCTGAGTTTTCAAATGGGGTGATTTAATAGCTGAGGGTCAGTCAAAAAGTATTGCAACCAGGTTCCAGTCCACGAGTGCACAGGTTTATTCCAAACAGAACATGTTTCAATGTGTCTCTGCCATCAGTGCATGGGTGCAGACAAGTTCTCTCAGGTATGCACTTGTCTTCATCTCATTAGAGTGCCTTCACAAAAACATCTAATCAAAACAGTGGCAGTTAGAGAGGTCAGCTCAGAAGGTTGTAACAACTGTTTTTTGGGGATTTCAAAGGGGGTAATCCTGATAGATTTTCTAGAAGAATGCAGAAAAATCAAAGGGTCTTCTTATAAAGAACTTTTAAGAAAATTGAAAACTGTATTATGGTAAGATAAAGGTCAACAAAGTTGAATCAAGGAATTTTGATTTCATCATAACAGTGTACCTGCTCATTCTTTCATGATCGCAAACCCATCCACCATTTGACTCTAATCTTGCCCCTTCAGACTTCTTTCTGTTCCCCAAGCTCAAAGAACATTTGAAAGAAACACCATTTGAATTCCTGGAGAATGCCAAAATTGCCATTTCGGTATGGTATAAATCGTAGAGCACAGAATTCTTCTGGGAAGGGTTAGAGAGAGGGAAACACTGCCTTCAGAAGTCTATAGGCTTGGGGGCTAGATCAAGAAGTATAGCTTCACCTGTTGACATTTTGGTTTAGTAAAGATGTCTGTGATTCTGTAGCAGTGCTTTTGTAGTTAACCATCGTGTGCTGGATGCTTTGCATAGCTCATAGCTCCAAGTAGACTGGATGGGTCTTGGTGAAGAGCTCAGCTACAAACCAGAGGAATTGGTGGATCAACCTACCCATCAGCTCTGGGGCAGAACAAAATGATGGTGATCTACTTCCAGAAAGGTTTACAGCCTAGGAAATCCATGAGCAGTTCTACTCTGTCACCTGGGTTGCTATGAGTTGTAATTTGGCAAGTGACAGTAACACCCATCACTTCTGTATCTGAGCAAATGTATCCCTTTCATTAGTCTAGTTAGGTACCATGGTACATGTATATTTAGCATTGACTAGAAAAGCAATGTCATATTTCTAATATGTTAGTTTTAAGACAACAATAGAATTTATAAATAGATTTATATTTATTAAGAAAATAACAAATATAAAAATACTGCTTATTAATAATAAATATTCTCATATTCCTCCTCATTATAATATTAGCCCAAAGTGTTTATGATTTGCCGGTCTATATGGAAAATAATATTTCCTATACTCATGAGATAGAAAAACTATAAAGTAAGATAGAAATGATGGCAGAATATGTGTTTTATACTATTTTTATGCATTTTATTTTTAAATACATAAAATATTCCGTATTTAAATGTATTTGTTTTGTTTCATGGAAATATTTTACTTCTTTACTTTTCTTTTCTTTTAGGTCATTCCCTAACAACTACTGGGATAAATTTGTTAAAAGAAAGGTAATGCTTCTTAGAAATACTTAACTCTCTAATGTTTTCCTAAAGTGCAGATGTGAACTTGTTGTGATATGTGTGTAAAATGGGATATTGGAGTGCACTTTGTGTGCCTGATAGTGTCCATTTTTAAAGTGTCAATCAAATTGACTATGAATTCCCAAACCAGTACATAAGCAATCTATATTCTGCACCTTCAAAATAAGCAGATAGTGCTTCAACTCTCCACCATCTGACCCAGGTGAATAATCAGTGCTCAGTGTACAGCATTAACAAGAATTGGTGAGAATTTTTTTTTAAAGGCTTTTGTTGTGGATTGAGTGAAAGTTTACAGGGCAGATCAT